TATATATATATATATATATATATATTTTTTAATTTATTTTTAAGTTGAAGTTTTTGATAATATTTAAACATCCGCTCTATTTTTTTCTACTTCAATAAATTTATTGTTTTGACTTTTTAAAAACTTTTTGTTAACAAATTCAAGTTAATAAAAAAGAAGTTGCTGAGGCCTGCATGCATATATGTATGTAAGACATGGTCAGGAAGCGGGAGCGATAGTTCTCGATTACTGACCACGGAAATAATATAGTGGTTTTTGAGAACATTTCAAAAAACAAAAAAAAAAACGCAAAAAAAATTAATCGGACCAATGAAAAACAATTACAAAAAAAAAAAAAAAACTAGGAAAAGAAAATAAGTTTTAACGTGAAAAAACTTAAAGCAAAATAAATTACATTTAGAACAAATATTTTTGAAACATTGCTCTTTTATTGTTTTTTTTATAAAATTAAGCAACATTTTTTATATAAAGTACTTAATAAGGAAAAAAATGTTCTTTTATTTATCAAAGAGTATAATATAATTTTTATCTATAACTTGTTTCTTATTTCCAGCGCTGGATTAAAGAGGGTTGGGGCTAGAGAGGGCTATAGCCCCAGGCCCCATAATGTTAGGGTCCCCAAAATAATTAAGAAGACCATTTTTCTAGTAATTTTTACACTGTGGCACATAAAAAAGGCCTCCAAAATAAAAATAGCCCCCAGCCCTGAAAAGTCCAACAAGATTCTAATAAAACTTAGGCTAGTTTTAGTTTTATTTAAGCTAAATTATTTTATAAATAAAAAAGTTAATTTTTTTTACTATTTTATGCTTTGCGTAGTTTGAATATTTTTGAAATGAGTCTTCTTAGTAAGATGAACAAATGAAATAATTAAATCATCGAATTACTGTAGAAATTAAATTAACTAGATAGAAATCAACTAAAAAGGTTAAAAACTTTTTATGAAGAGGAAGTGGAACTGCTTCACAATACCGCTGATGATGTTTAGTGAGTGAGCTTTTTAATATAATTAGTATTTAAAACAGAAAAAAAAATGTAAGTTTAAGTATAATGAGTATTTAAGAATGACAACTAAAGCAAAAATAAAGTTAGTAAACCAATATCTAAGGAATTAAAAACTTCTCTTTCTTGAGGGAAAGAATCCGTTATTGGGTACATGGAATAAAATGGATTAATTATGTTTGTGTTATGAAACATTAATGTGAAATATTATCTAATGTTGGATCTAGCTCCTTAACTTGTAGTTTTGTTGAGCTCTCTCCTTATAGGATGCGCCATTGCTGTTTGCCCACTACTCTGTGGTTTGTACACAACAAAACAGTTTTCGGGTTTTATTACTTAGATTTAGTCCCATAAAATACTGCAGAGTCCTAGAGGATGAAACAATATTGTCTGTTACTCTCGAGTCCTTAATACAAGAGGGGAAGGGAATAAAAGGGTGGGTAGGAATTTTAGTTAGGGACCAGCGAAGTTGACTTTTCAAGACTGAAATTTATATGAAAGACAAATTTAGATTTATATGCGTATACCGAATTTAAATGAAAGACGAATTTAAGTTGTATATGTAGCTCGAATTTAACTGAAAGCTGAATTTGGATTTTAAAAACACATTTAACTAAAAAAGAACTTAAGAACTTTTATAAGTTTTAAAAAAAAATTAGTTTTTTTTTTTTTTGTTTTTAAATGTTCTGAGAAGACCTAATGGTTTTGCCACAGGGTACATCAGAAAAGTATTAAACTAGAAAGTTCAAACAATTTTTCTTACCGATGGTGTGAAATAAGCCAAGAGCTTGCTTCGAACCCTAGGTCTATTGCTTCTAAAGCATATGCTCTAACCACTGCGGAGCGGTTGCTGTATAATCATTTTTTATAAGAGGCCATCCATAAAGTACGTACGCCGGTATGGGGGAAGGGAGGGTTTTCCAAAAGCGCATAAACGCATACGGGGGGTGGAGGGTGTTAAAAACAATGAGTACCTACGTGGTTTTGATTTAAAAAATAAAGTTAAATTTGATCTCTCTTAAACTTAATTTTTTTTTTTTTTTAAAAACATTGAAAGTTTCAATATTTATCAGTTACTAGTATGTTTTTTAATTCTTAAGGCCGATTTTCCCATTAAATTTTTTTTTAGTTTTGATAAATAATTGTTAATAGCAAGTAAAAATTAATAAACAGGGCAGGGGGGTTACCTTACTGAGCTTATGGTGGATGGGGAAAATTTTTCTAAAAAATAATTAATAAACATCTGCCACAAATATATATATATATATATATATATATATATATATATATATATATATATATATATATATATATATATATATATATATATATATAATATATATATATATATATATATATATATATTATATATATATATATATATATTATATATATATATATATATAATATATATATATATATATATATATATATATATATATATATATATATATATATATATATATATATAATTATTAGGGTTTCAAATCCCAAAGATCAAAAGCATAAATAACTTACCATTTTATAATTCTTTAAAACAACTATTGATTTGGTTTCTTCATAGAATCTCAGTTAAAATATTATTAATAGATTTACTATTTATCAATCTATTAAAAAGTAAAGCAGATAATTTTTACAATGTAATATAATAAACAGATTACTAGATGTTTTTCAATCTATTTAAAAAGTAACTTTTACAAAAAAAATTTATTGTTTTAAAAAAACATCACAATCACCATTATTAAGCATAAATACTAGCTATAACTAATCATCTTTCATTGTGTACTTAATAAAAACACAATGGTCAAGTTTCCACCACCATCATTTTTTGAAAGTTAAATTTTAACTAACAATAACCAGTGAGAAACTCTAATTTAATTAATTTCTCTAAGTAATTAGTAATTAAACTGATTAATTTATTCAAACAAATAATTGATAAATAATATTTTAGCATGAACTTAAAATAGCTTTTTCAAATTGTTTACTATTAATAATGAACTAAAAAGCACAAAATCTTCACAAAATCATCTTTCAACAACATTTATTGTTAAAATCAAAAGTAAAGTGTTCTATAAGTTTTTATTTTTTTATTGTTAATTTATTAAAAATTAAATTGCTTAAATTTATGTTTAAATGTTAACAATAATTAAAATATATATTATGGTCAAATAAGTTAATTACAGACAAAAAAAAAAAAGCAAACTTTAAATTGTTTTGCACATAAAAACTTTAACTGAAATATTTTCAGAAACTTATTTATTGATCAGACATTTAATTTTCAAAATGCTAAAATAGCAGTTAACTTAGATAACTAACCTAACCCTAAAGTTAACAATTTAACACCAAGTTAATAATTAACCTAACACCAAAGTTAACAATTTAACACTAAGTTAATAATTAACCTAACACTAAAGTTAGCAGTTTAACACCAAGTTAAACAACTTAACACTAAAGCAAAGAAAAACTGGTTTTAGATAAAAAAAAAAAAAAAAAAAAAAAGACTAATTTTAACAACTTGATTTTAAACTATGAGGAAGATCAGATTCAAACTAGTTTACTAATATTTTTACAGTTAAATGTTGTTGTAAAAAAGTTTAAAAAATCAAACAAATCTTTTTTAATTTTTAAATGGGTTCTAAGATCTCAATATTTTTTATTTCTAACAACACCAGTACTTTGAAATTCATCATTTTTAAAAAAACAAGATAAATTTTTTGAAATTCGTCATATTTTTTTTAAATGATGAATTCCAAAGTACTGGTAGAATTTCAAATGAATTCCAAAGTACTGGTAGAATTTGGAATTCATCATTAAAAAAAAAATGAATAATTCCAAAGTACCGGTGTTGTTTAAAGCCAGATAAACAATTTTTTTAACTACAACCTAAAAATGACTGTGAAAAGATAACTTAATAGGATAACTTTGCAGCCTAATTATGCACAAAAAGTAGTATTGATAAAAGAAAAAAAAACTAAAAAACAAACAACTAGTAAAGCTTAACTAGTAAGCACAGTCTCAGAAAAGCAGTCAGAGTGTCAGAAGGGCTCTGAAAGGCTGTTATCAGAAAACAACATGGATATAATTAACAGTATATATTCCATATAAAAAATAATAATAAATAAAGAAATTTATAGAGAATAAAATCAGAAATAAAAAAATGAAAAGCTCAATAAACAGAGATGAAACTATCTCTGTTTAGTGAGTCAAACTTGATAAATAGTTTCTAATGAAAATTAGAGATAAAAAATAAACAGAGAAGACATAAGTGAAGAAAGCTCATAAAGTAAATTTACTGAGTTTAAAACTACTGAGTCTTATCTGAGTTAAAAAGATAATATTGTTCTAATTCAAGACTGTAATATATAGTTGCATCATCAGCAAATAAAGCCAAAGATAATAAGAGTATAAACTTAAGATGGTAATTTTTAAATATGAAATTCTATAATTTATAGTATATAAAATTCAAATGGATTATAATAAAAAATATAAAACTGATACATTTTTAGAGAAAAAAAATTTTATTTAACAAAAACTATTGATATTTAAATTTTCAAAATTTTTATAGTTGATGTTAATTCAATTTGAAACTTTTTAAAAACACAAAAATAAAATATTTTAAAAAAATGTTTTTAGGCAAACTCTTAATTTAAGAAAACAAGTAAAAAATAAATAAGTAGAAAATCATAAAGAAACAATTAGCATATATTAATTTAAATAAGTTATAGTTAAAATATCAAGTTAAAACATATAGTTAGATATATATATATATATATATATATATATATATATATATATATATATATATATATATATATATATATACATATATATATATATATATATATATATATATATATATATATATATATATATATATATATATATATATATATATATATATATATATATATATATATATATATAAGATATATATTTAAGATATCAAGCCTTAAAAGATAAGTAGAATATGAATCAAGCCTTAAAAGATAAGTAGAATATTTTATCACTATAATAAAATAAAGTCTTAAAAACAACTGCGTTGTTTTTAAGACTTTATTTTATTATAGTGATAAAATATTCAATAAAAAATAAATTAAAAACAATATATATATATATATATATATATATATATATATATATATATATATATATATATATATAATATATATATATATATATATATATATATATATATATATATATATATATATATATATATATATATTATAAATTAATAATTATAAACATTTATAAATATGGAAAGTATATATTCTCTAAATTTAATAGATCATTTATTTGTTGTTGTTTTTTATTTTCTTTTTTTGTTCTTGTTTTTTTTTTGTTGTTGTTGTTGTTTTGTTTTTTTTTACAAATATTTAACATTGTACAAGGGGGGATTTAGCTGAACCAATACAACCAGTAATAAATTAAGTTCAAACATAAATATCATTACAATTTTGTTCTTTAAGAAATATATATAAGTATATTATGATATACTAATTTCAGGTCCGAGTTTAAGGAAACGTGTTGAGTCATAAAAACTTTACCCTCCTTCGACATAAGCATTGTCTATAAATTATTTAAGTTAAAGTGTTTTTTTATGACTTCTATATTGATGTAATTAAATTAGTTACGAAATTGTTGGTAGCGTCGTCTCTCTCGTATTTAGTAAAACGCATGAGAGCGGAACGTGATTGTTTATTATTTATGAGTATATTGATTATCAAAATCTGTTGTAGGTGTAATCAAATCCCGGCATTTAGTAGAGCAGCGGTTTTAGCCGAAATCTTGAAACACTGATATATTCGGCAGTTTGTTTTGCAGCCGAATTTTCTATTTTAAATTATAGCCGTCTGTACCACTGATGGCTCATCTCTAATATAAAAATTGAAGTCGAAAAACAAATTGGGAGTCATTCATAAACTGCGTCACGCAATTTTTAACCGTTTTTGACCACCTTGTAGCAATAGCGTAACTTTTTAGGAAAGAAGCCCGTACAAGTCATCACAAAACAACATACTCCTGCCCTCTTTTAAATCGTGACGAGATTTAAGGATGACCTCTTAGAGGCAATGTTGGGTGGTCTCCATTCTTGAAATAGTTTTTTATATAGGAAAATTTATACGCGGTGCAACCCAAACTCGGTAATATTTGATTTCAAATACAAAATTTTTTATGTCACGAGTATATACATAGGCTGACTATCTAGAAATTGACGGGCCTAATGCCAAACTTTCATTCGATGCATGCAGTGTACATGTGTCAAATGAGAATTTGGGTTTAGGCAGGTAATCATTTTAATGGCTAATTTTATATCTTCAAGAATTAACTATTTTATAGTTAAAAACGAATCCTCCCGTTGTTTTAGTGCATCGGTTACATTTGTCATATTTTCAGTAAATTAGAATAATTTATATAAAACTATCAAGCTAAGAGCAATTAATTTTAAAATGCTTAAATATGTTTAAAAATCATTTAAAATACAACTTATGAAAATTTGAAATTCAATGAATTTTTTATTTTATATTGAGCTCTACTTCATATATCCAATTACGCTTTTTCTTATTTATTATTGCGCAAAACCATAACCCCGCTTTCTAGAATTAGTTAAAAATAACTATTACTTATTTTTAATCATTAAAATTATCAAGATGCTCATATTCCTCGAATCTATCCTATATTATTTACTGGTACATTAAATAAACAAAAAAATAATATAGGATTCGGGTATTATGAGCATGTAGGTAATATGAACATACCAAATAACAAAAATTTTTTTTTTTTCAAAACTGACATTGTTTTGGTCTCGACACCCTTCCTCCCCATTATCAAATATTGTCAAAGTTTTCAGTTCCTCCTATCCCATTTATCTACTGACATGTATCTTTGTGGCAAGCTAGAAAAAACAGATTTTATCTATTTAATAAAATGAAAAATTCATTTTAAACTTTTCTTTAGTTGTTGTTATTTTTAAAGGCATCCAGCTCCAGGTCCCGATTTACAAATTAATAAGCAGATTTTATTTATTTAGTAAAATAAATACGTTAGCTCATGCATACTAAATGCAAACGTTTTTTATGAGCTATTCTTAGTTGTTGTTTTTTTATTGGAGGGTCATTAAAAAACAACAGCCCAGGCCCAATTTGCGCGTACACGAGATTTGTAAGTTCAAACGGCTATAACTTAAATTAAATGAAATAAAATATAGTATAATAAATTTGCAAAAATATAAGTTTTAACCGTACCAAAAGGAGAGTAATAATTCTTTTAAAAAAAAAATTTAATAATGCAAAACGTCACAAAAGATCGTTTGATTAAAGCAAAGCTTAAAAAAAGACTTTGAATTGATATGGCGCGTTAGATTTTTTTTTTTTTTTTTCTTTTCTAAAATGTTATTAATTTTTAATATACTTTTTCTCTGCACTATTTTTATTATTTGATAATGCGTGAAAAATTGACACTTGATTGATTGCTTAACAAAACACAACTTTTTGATAAAAGTTATTTTAACTGTAACTGTCAATAAAATCAATTTTTTAAAAATAGCATGTTTCTAAGTTTTTGAATATACTTTAGGTTCAGCTCGGGGTAGATCCACTGCTAAATAATGTATCTAACTTATTTTATT